TGACATCCTTTTACAAATAACTTCATAAATATGGTAAATGAACTCAAAAATGAACTTTTATTCAATATTCGAACTTTTTTTGCGGACATAATGTGTTTATCAATCAATTTATATAATTAACAGTTAACAGAGATTTATTTGTACTCTACTTATAAGTTATACATAAAATACTATTGTGTTATTTGAAGCATTCATTAACACCAGATAATCGTATAAATCAGTTTCATAATTCATATGACACACAATTATCACTTTTTCTTTTCTGTTTTGCTTCTTATGAATAGCACTTCATTTAGAGATAGTACAGTAGGTATGACGGTATACCTACTAGACTCTAGTACTCTGTAACTAGAGATAACTTACTGTTATATGTATTTCACATTATTATTGAGAACAGTGGGTTCAAAAGTCAATATAATTAGTATTTTAGCAATAATTAAAATAAATAAAAGTTATTAGTGGGGGGCAGTGGGTGTATATAATTGGCAATTATGTTTGAGGGTCTCGGAAATCTGATTTTTCAATATTTATATTAAAAATTTAAAATTAATTAAAGTAATCTTTTTTAATAAAAACAATTATTGTATAAAATAAGAGTTAATTTATGATAAGTTTACGACTTTTGCTGATATAACATGAGTTTAAATAAAATACTTACAGAGATTTGCTAATTAATATTATCATCAATTTATTTAGCACTTATCGTTTAAATAATTTTAGACACATTTTATCGCAATCATTGGATATCTATTTTTGATATGATTTTAATTGAATTCATTTCACTTATAATTTGTCAGCTTTTTGTCATAAAATTACATTCAATTCATTGCATTCAACAAACACTTGAGTTGTGTTTCACTAGTCTTTGAGAACTGAAAGGAATATCAGATGAAGAAAGCGAGCGTTACGTTAGACATCGCCGGTACCGGTGCCGGCATTTTACACGAACCCAAAAAGGGTTTATCCGTTCTCACGGCTATTGTCTTCATTGCTGGTGAACTGGCCGGCAGTGGAGTTTTAGCCCTTCCCGATGCTCTCGCAGATATGGGTATGTTTTAATCTATTATATTTCTGTATTCTTTTATACAATATATTTATTTATTGATAATAAACAGAATTTTAACAGCTTTTTATTGACATTTATTAATACTGTACTGTATAAGCAATAAAATTAATTACAAAATAGTTTGGGGAAATAGTATTTTCATAGAGCTAATGTACTACAGTGTGCCGACGTTATAAATATTTATTGTTACCGTTATAACTTATAAGTATTTACTGATATTTTATATTTATAATTTAATGACACCATAGGCTGGACAGGAATTGCTGTAATCATAGTCATTGGCTTAACAGCTGCTTATTCTGGTGTGTGTTTAGCCCGTTGTTGGCTTATGCTTGAAGAGCGATGGCCTGAATATAGGAGTCCAACCAGAAATCCGTTTGCATCTATCGGTTACCGATCAAATGGACAATGGATGAGGTATTTAATTCTGGTGTGTGTTTAGCCCGTTGTTGGCTTATGCTTGAAGAGCGATGGCCTGAATATAGGAGTCCAACCAGAAATCCGTTTGCATCTATCGGTTACCGATCAAATGGACAATGGATGAGGTATTTAAACATTAAACTCAATATAGCACTGCATATGCTTTGTTTGAAAGCTATAAGAAATTAGTTATTAATAGAAGAAAAGTATAAATTACTTTCATTTATAAGTTATACTGGTAAACTTTAAAAAGATTAACTTTATAAATATACGAATAGTTTTCAAATATGGCATAAACTTAATTTTTCTAATTAATTGTAATGTTATGCAAATATTTAATATTGTAATATAATTTGTTGAAAGCTATGTCTGTTCAGCTGTAATGCAAGTAACCTTCTTCGGCGGCGCCGTTGTATATCTGCTGTTGTGCTCACAATTAGTCCAATCTCTCACTCATACCTTCTTAAGAAAAGTCACTTTCTGTGATTGGATTCTTATAATAGCATTACTATTGATACCCCTCTCTTGGTTGGGATCTCCGGCCGACTTCTGGCCTCTGGCTGTCGGTGCGATCGGCACAACAATCTGTGGACTTGTATTACTGATGATTGAAGTGGGTATCGATGCGCCCAAACATATATCGCACGCCACTTACGAAGCGCCGACATTCTCGTCATTTTTCCTCGGCTTCGGGACCGTTGTGTTTGCCTTTGGAGGCGCCGCTGCTTTTCCCACATTTGTAATTAACATCCAGTTAAATTGCACTATAATATGCATAATTATTGATATCTAATTATAACAGCAAAACGACATGAAAGACAAAACCAAATTTCCGATCGCAGTTATCGTCGGATTTATACGTAATATATAGAAAACAATAATTTTTATTTCATATTTCATTGACTGATTGTATGTGTCTATAGTTCTCATAGTGTTATACCTTCCCGTAAGTGTCACGGGTTTCACAGTCTATGGGAGTATAGTTCAAAATGATATATTGGATTCAGTCACTGATGGTGGCCTCAAAACGACAATCTCTGTCTGTTTTGCCATTCATTTATTTCTCGCGTTTCTAATACTCCTGAATCCCGTCGCACAAGAATTTGAGTCATTTGCAAATATACCCCAAAGTATGGAAAATAATTTCTTATGAATTATGAAATTGTTTATAAAAAATTTGTTTTATTTGAATAGCTTTTACTTATAAGCGATGTATAACCAGGACAATATTGATGGTGGCCATTGCATTCACAGCATTATCTATCCCACAATTTGGCAAAATATTGAGTTTCATCGGCGGTTCGTCTGTGAATTTAATGACATTTGTTTTGCCCCCCATTTTCTACCTCCGACTCGTCTCACAACAGGATTTGAACAAAGAGTGGCCCAAAAGGTATTCATTGATTGGCTTTTTGTTTCACAATTTCTAATGAAATAATTTATTTTCATTTTCAGAGAAATCACTTTAAAAGTCAAGATATTCCTAATAGTCATAGTCATCATTGGAATAATAGCCGGTGTAGCCAGTACATATTCAGCCATTCGTGAATTAATAGACCCTGATGCATTCAAACCACCTTGCTATATCAGTCTCCAGTCATTTTATGCATCATAGGAACAGTTATATATAATTATTTTAGTATTTATTTTTATGTATAAACTTATTTGTTATATTTTATAAACAATTGATTAATTGATATCTTTAAATATATGTTATAAATAAATTGTTTTTTGTTTCAATAACTGATAACAAAGTTTTTCCATAAGAATGATACATAAGAATCTATACCAGAGATTAAAAGTTAAAAATATTGCAAACACACTCGTGTTTAACAGTGATATTATTTTAACCGAAATAATACTATAGATAACACAAATAGATAAAAATAGCATTTTATTGATTCAAATCATGAATCAATAATAATATTAATATTAAAGAAGTATTTGTGCCATAATTCTGGCACTGGTTTCACAAAATCGTCAAACAATTCATGTGTTATATTGAGCCGTAATTAGCAAACGATCCCTTATTTGGCAAAAACTGATTGTTTGCCAAAAATGTAAATCAAATGAAAACAATGTTTCAGTGAATCATATGTTTGACACAAATGTGAAGCAAATGTTGAGTTAATCGACAATTAAAACAAATATTTAGCCATAGATTTGATCGACAATTATATGTCAATACAAATGATATGAATTGATATACAAATTGAGACAATGAATGATAACAAGAAGAAAGCCATAAATGGACTCATTATTGGCCACAAGAATATCGATGACTTCGTGGAGAAGTGTCAGATCGATGGCAAACTATGGCACAGATGTCTGTGGATGGGATGTGATTATACCACCAATAGGTCTAACTATTGATTGTCTTGTATTTGATGCCATTACTCACAATTACTGTCACTTCAGATCGGATTCAATTCAAAGACATTTAAGGAAACACACGGGTATTGAGCATCAGATGTGATACCATTTGGACTATTGATTGCATACTTATTGTCTCAAACAGGTGTCCGTCCCTACCGGTGCTCATTCGAGGGCTGCACTTATGCCACCATTCAGTCTTCGGCTCTTAAGATACACATCAGAAGACGTATGAAAATAAGCCACACTTTAGGCATCACTTTGAGTCTAATTGTGATCTCTTTGTGATCTCTTATGACAGACACGGGAGAGAAGCCCTATAAGTGTCCGTTCAGTGGATGCGGCAAAAGGTTCACTGTTTTGGGGACTCTTCTGATCCACGAGAGGACCCATACGGGCGTCAAACCATTCAAATGCCAAGAATGCAGTTATGCGTCCATCGAGAGGAGCAAACTGTCCACTCATATGAAGAAAAACCACGGATTCACTCGAGTCGATGACAATCAGATGACTATTGAGAATATATGCGTCAAATCGTCTCAATTAGTTCCCATCAATCTATTCAACGCTTTCTCAAACACTCCTTCCGAAGACATTCAGGGTTTGTATTGAGATTTGTTTGCATTTCTAGAATGAGTACTCATTTGAAGGCATATCACTTGCAGTGGACGTGGATGTGGAAGGGGTGCCCGAAATGAGTCCATCATTTGATGTCATGAATGAGACGATTGATGTGAACAGCTGTGACAACAGCATTAAGAATGTCTCACAATATGTGGATAAACGCGAAATTGACGGCAAAATTGTCTATTACTGTACATACAGTCAGGACTGCAAATATGATTCACTTCGATCTGATTGTATTGTGAGGTATGGGTTGTTGTCTCTAATTATAATCATTTGTTTCTAATTTCATTTGATATGATTTCAAAGGCATATGAGATCTCATACGGGAGATAAGCCCTATAAATGTCAGTTCGAGGGCTGTGGGTATAAAACTGTGCAAAGGTCTGCCCTAAACGAGCACCGGATGTGGCACACGGGACAGAGGTTTAAATGTGACTACTGTTCCTATAAGAGTATTAAGCGAACTAAGCTTCAGCTCCATATCCGTAAGAATCACTTGACTTCGAGTTGCGTTAACATTGACACCAAAGGATTGGGCAAAGATTTGGGACAATTGATTGCTAAGAAGCACTTGAATTGGTTTGAGTGTAAGTTTCCTAAATGTAAATACGGAACCATTAGATCAGATGCCATCGTCAGACATATGAGGACTCGTAAGTCATTTCATTGATCTCTCTATGAATTCGTGTGATTATTGATTTGTGTTGACATGTGTTTAGATACGGGAGAGAAGCCGTATAAGTGTTCGTTTGAAAATTGCGATTATAAGACCATTCAGAGCTCATCCCTCAAAAAGCATGAGTCCAGACATACCTGTCTGGCTTCCAACCCATAGACTAATATATATTTCTTTATATTTAATTTACATGATAACCATAATATCAATTGTAAATCTTAAAAATTCTAATCATTTACCGATTTTTAAGATGAAAACTAATGTGATTTAAAAATGATTACGGTTCACTATATTTATTAACAAAAAATTATTAAAAACAATAATACTGTAATGAAATAAAATTAAAAAATATATTTTAATAAATATTCAAATATAATAACAGAAAAATGTTTAATAATTCATTTGATTGGAAAATATTTCAGACTATGTTTTTAATTTATAAGTCGTTATGGAGAATAA